GCAATTCACATCCCTTTCGAAGAACATTTTAGCATTTGCATTGGGGGGTAAAAATCATGTGTGAAAAATCCATGATGACTAGCCTCTCGTCGTGAGTGATAAAAATGTTGAATTCATTGAAGTCGCCGTGAACCACCCCGTACAAAGCAAATTTCATTATATTGTTCATCAGTTTGTCGTAAAGGGCCTTCACGTTGTTCAGTTCATGCACGGGATGAAGAAGAGTGCCTGAAGAAGAAGCCGTTTTAATATCTTTTAAAATGTAAAGGATTATTGATTGAGCTTTGGCCACCTCGTTTTTGCATCTAATGTGCAATTTAGAGAAAAATGTTAAATTAAAAAGTTGTAGATATTAACGTCTAGTTTAATAATATTTTTTTAAATTAAATGCCGATCTTTTTATTCCATATTCGAACTATTAGATCGAAATTTTAGTCCTATTAGAGATGCCACAAGTTGTTTTTTTCAATTTTCAATTGTTTTTAATTGACAATGATATTGTAATTAATGGTTATTGTGTTAATAACCGATGTTGGTTAAGCTTTGGCCACCCCGCTCTTGTATTTAATTTGATATTGAGAGACAAACAATTAAATGGAAAAGTTGTTGATATTAACGTATAGCATCTTTTAAGATAATACCAATTGATACAGGGTGTCTGAAATTCAAGTAGCAGACCAAACTGACATTTTTTAAATCGAACGCCGTTCTTTTTGTGGCAACATTTCCATAGAATAGAAGTTCAACAATGATCGTGAAGCGAACTAGGCAATTTTTGATAAAAACAGAGTATTGCAAAAGCATGGCCACTGGACAGCCACAACCACTGGAAAAATTTACAAAACATTCCGAAGTAATTTGTACATAAAAAAACGATAAACTGCATTAAAAAAACAATTTTACGGATTTGTTGAAAACTAGGGATTTTGTAATAAAAACAGGCTCTAGCGAATAAATGGACACTGAACACTCGCAGTCACTGGGAAAATTTTTAGAAACATTTCTAAGTAATTTGTACATAAAAAAAGTGAAAAACTGCATAAAAAACGCAATTTAGCTAATTTCTTGGAAACTATTGATTTTTTGAAAAAATCAGACTCTTGCAAAAAAATGGCCACTGAACAGTCGCAGTCACTGGCAAAATTTGAAAAAAAATCTCTAACTAATTTCTACATAAAAAAGTGGAAAACTGCATAAAAAACGGAATTTACCCAATTTCTTGGAAACTAGGAAATTCTTGATGAAAACGGACTCTCGCTAAAAAATGTTCCCGGGCCAGTGTGAATTACTGGTGAAATTTGAAAGAAATCACTAACTAATTTGTGCCCATTTCTTGAAAACTGCGAAATTTGCTTAACTTTGATACCCTTCCTCGACAGCTTTAACCACTGACAAAACTTCACAAAAAATCCCTCAACAATATTTGCACAAAAAAGGCTCAAAGCTGCGTGCAACAGCGCAATTTTACGAATATCCTGATCGCTGGGCATTTTTGTCCTGATCGCTGGGCATTGCAAATTGTGGGCTCCCAACTACCCGAGGCAGGGACAAAATTTGAAGCAAATCCCTAAACAATTTGTACAAAAATTCGGAATTTTGAAGAATTTTCAGCAGTGGAACCGGCCCTGTACGTTGGATCGATAAATAATTTGGCAACAA